TTCCCGCTCCTGCTGATTGCGTCATTGTTGATTGTACGTTTGCTTAATTCATGATGCTTACTAATCCGTTATGGAGATTAACCAGGTCCTGTCATTCCTCAATATATCATCTGCTGCACCACGTCCGTCTGCTCCTATTGACTACTGGCTACGAACTGCGCATAATCCAATAGTCGCAATCGTCCTGTGAGATTCATAACCGTCCCGGTCTTACACGCACTATTCCCCAAATTATTCCAGATGCCCTTGAAAAGTGGCCTAAAGCTTTTGATACCTCTGACACAAAAACAGTCACAAATTCGCCGCCTCTTCCTGCGTAAGACCGGGCTATTAGCCGCACAATGCGCCTAGCTGCAAAGCCTTCAGGATTGGAGTAAAGATTTTTGCGCGAAATGTTGCATTTTTTGCGTATGTGCTCACACCAAATCCACTTTAATATGGGTTATTGCTTTTGCAGCTCATCAAATTTCATTGTCCACCGGAGGAATCATAACCCTGGCGGAAATGTCTGGTGGAATAATTTTCCAGCATCGCTGAGACCCGTGATACATGAACGGGAATCAAACGTTTAGACTGGTGCTCTAAACTCAAAAGCTCGATTGCTTTAGTACATCAGGGACACGCCATAGCTCTCGAGAATTCTATTCCATTGTGCAAATACGAATCCAACGCTTGGCCTACGGGAAAATATTGTTCAAAGGGGTCGCTGATTTCACGCCCCGTATACTGGTTATTGCCCCAACCTTGAGGCAGCAAGCATAATTTTCCCCTCCATACACTTGCATTTATGTTGGTAGGCGTGCCTTGACGAAAATGGAATATTTAACAAACCAGATAATGGCTATGCCATCTCGTCAAGCTACAGAGCTATCTCGAACCCGCAGCATCCTTGTGGTCACCCACAAATAAATATTATGGTTCAGAGGTTGTCCAGTCTACCGAAATTCACGTATCTCAGAGGAGTGCTCTACTGTCCACAAGTGCTCGAGCGTCGGAATCATGCTCGAGGGTAATGTGAAATTCTGTAAAGTGATTTCTACCGGCCGCGTGGCAGTATTGTTATGGGGACAGCATGTCAACAGATTAGAACCAACCTCTTTGACGATTGGGAATATGCCCGGCCCCCGACATGAGGAGGCCAGTATCGACACCAATTTCTCCATCTGTTAAACAGACAGATTCACATACCTGCAAACGAGACGCATCGTCAGTCTGGACTTGGAATTTCCTGTTTGAACTGCGGCTTGAACTCCAACTTTGCCAAAAAACGAGGCATTAGAAGGACACATGCCTGAAACCCCCAGACTGTCCGCTGGTTACTGAGAGATGCCGGCATTCAGTATTTGCACAATGGAATTGAATTTTCGAAAGCCACGGTGTGTACCTGATGGACTAAAAGAGACAGGTATCTGAGTTCAGAGTACGAGTCCAAACTGTTGAGCCGCATCTAGGCATTCCGCGGTCTCAGCATTACCTTAAAGGTATGCCACCAGACTTTCTCCGCCATGGAGACGATTGTTTTCGTGGACAATGAAATTTAATGAGCTGCAAAATTATGAATAACGATTAGGATGATTTCGGTATGAGCACAAACCTAGCGCACAACTATTAAGTCTGCTAACCTCCCTGGTCACTCAACTTTTGGACTCTCGCCCTTGGAGGTAACAGAGACATTGTTGAAATGTTTGTCCACATACTGCCTCATCCTTTTCAGCAAACTCGGCGATGTAAAACAGTCAGCTGGCCTCGAACGACCGTCTATAATCGCGCTCACAGAGACCTGGCTAACACCGGATGTCTCTGACACGGAGATCTCGATAGTCGGTTACTCCATTTTTCGAGTTCACTCAAAACGAGGGGGCTGGTGTGGTTGCCCTGTATTTACATTCGGCCCCACCAATCCTGATTGTTTTCTCTGATGACACTCCTGCACCTTTTTGCCCTGTATTGTGGGTCCAAATCACGCTGAGCGGATCCAATTCTCTCCTTCTCGGTGTGGTCTAACTTAGCCCCTCGAGTCGCCCTGAAGATGACCAGTTCCCCATGCCAACCCTTGAGCAACCCTCCTCCAACTATCGCTTCAGTCATATCCTGCTGTTAGGTGGCTGTAACGCTTTAAAAGCTTCCTGGATGGAGCTCCAGCGCGTCGAATCAAGCGGACTCTTCGCAGCGGCGCTAATTGAAGTCGTTCAACAGAGCGCTTGGACTCAACATAACGTTGCACCTACCAGATGCGGCGCAGGTCAACTAACATCCCCCTGGATCTGGTCATCATCAACGAAAGACACTTCGTCGATCAGGTAACAATTGACGCCCCCTGATGCATGGTGACCATTGTGTGCTGACATTTGATTTCATCTGCTATTGGGCCAGAAATCCCGAACCGCAAACGTGGTTTCGTGCAGACATTTCAGGAATGCGCCTCTTTCTTGAACAGGTCACACTGGGACCAGCTCCAGTGGAAGAACTATACAGGACTGTTATCCAGAAAGTTCACGAGGCTGACTCAAAGTTCGTCCCAAAACACAGCACGCACTTGGATGAGCCGCAGGCTGCCAGAAAGGATTCGGCGACCTCTGGATAAAAGTTCACAACCTTTTAAAAAAAGTCGGCTACAGGGGATATGGATGAGCTGGCATTCCGTAAAATGCGGAACCGCTGTAAATCAGAAATTCGCCAATGAAACATACGAAAACAAGCCACCATTCTGGACATCGCTCGGAAGAACAAAAACGTACTGTTCAAACACGAGACATCGCCGCAGAAACAAGTCATCCGCGTTCTCCTTGGGGAAAGGAACGGAGAACCCACGAGTTACCCAAAAGTGGATTTTGAGGTTTACAGAGAACACTATTCGTGTCTATATTCAGCCCTAGCGTAAATAATAACAGCCTCTAACCGACTTGGTTTCACGGTGGAGGTCATTCGTTAACTCTTGCACAAGATCAATCCATTCTGCACGTTGGGGCCCGGCGAGGTTTAACCAAGGATCCTGAGGGAAAGGTCGTTTACACTGGCAAATCACTTATACCTAATATTTCGTCAGTCGCTTGACGAAGACCGCATTGGAATCCTGGGGTTCCAATACCAGTGCCTTCCAAATGGATGTAGACTCTGCGATGCAGGGGTCGTTGAAATGGCACCTTACTCTGATGACGAAAAGTGCGTCCATGTCATTCGGAGGAAACTCAGCAAATGCCGTTGTCATGTATGGAGAGAAAGGACTAGAAAACATCTTTTGGATAGACGCCAAAAAGGATTTGGGTATCTGGGTTTCCCCAGACTTGTCAATGATTAGGATGATTTCGGTATGAGCACAATCCCAGCGCACAACTATTAAGTCTGCTAACCTCCCTGGTCACTCAACTTTTGGACTCTCGCCCTCGGAGGTAGCAGAGACAGACCGCTCCTGGAATACGCCACCCAAGTTGTCTACTCAGGACGCACAAAAGACGTCGCCCTCGTTGAGAGTGTCCAGCGAGCCGCTGCTCGAATAGTTGCGAGCCTCAAATTCGTGGACCACGAAACGCGTCTCGCGATGCCTGATCTCCTTCCCCTGGAGTATTGTCGCCTCCGAGGGGACCTAATTCCTACTTATGCCCTGTTTGAAAAAAAAACAGGTTTTTCACCGTTGACCCAGCAACCACACGGCAGGAGATAGTGAGGAGATTTTCAAGCTCAGAGCACACACATTAATTGGGCAAATTTTTCTCATTTCGGGTAGTAGGTGCGTGGGATGACCTTCCTCCGACGGTTGTCCACGCTCTCTCTAGAACTCAGTTCAAAGCACTACTAGACATTTATTTATGCGAATCCTCGCGCTGGCAAACATACTGCCCCGCGCTGAGAACATAAAGAGCAGTGCTACACTCTTTTTTCACTTGTGCCTTTCAGGTGGACGACAGCCACCGACCGGCAAGAACAAAACCAACCCAGGAAACTTGGGCAGAAGCCTGGATTCTGTGTATCAATCCGTGAATCCGTGGACAAGTACATCTTAGCCCAAAAAGTTTCATTTGGGTCGGATGTTTCCGCAGTCAAGAGCAGTGCTCGGCCAATGAGCCCCAGAGACACCCATTAAACGAAAATCATTTCATGAAAGCCGCTGAGTCTCCGTGCGTGGTAAAGTGGTTTTCGATCGGACATTGAAGCAGCCAATCAACAGTGAGTGAAGCTATTCGGGTGCTCGACGTATCCTGCGTGCACTGTCAACTAATCGGGTTTTGCACGGACGGATACTCATTCATTGACAGCCTCCTATCATGCCTTCACTTCCCTTGGCCTCTCACACTTCTCCTAGGATATTTCAACGCAATACATTATTTGTTTTCCAATGACCTGTTCCCCATTTTTCGACGTTTTCCTCCTATAGATGGCTCTATCTAGTTCGCGGCATCAGCCCTCACCAACCCAACCAGGTTCCTCAAGAGGCATCGGCCGCCCATCCTGAGCTAATGAGCTTCCGGTGTGTTATGGAGCATGCCGCCTCCTGCGGCGACCATATACGTCACTTAATGCTGGGAGCCGGTGGGTGTGATCCATGCACAAGCCAGCATTCTGGTTGGTTGGTTGTGCACAAGCCAGGAAGCGCGCGCGTCCAAATTGCATTTGTGCACACGGAGTGTTGCTGACACAAATTAGTGATACCTGAAGCGCCATTCAGTGACTATGTATAACTTTACAGTCGAAAATGAAGTATTTATGGTGGAGGTTCAATTTGTATGGGACGTTAATTAACGTATCCATCAACCTTTTCTCCGCGCAACCTTTTTCTGAATACCCACATCACTTCTTTCAATTAAAATCGAAAACAAGTCAGATGACGTCGCCCGAATTCGAAACGCGAACCAGCAGGCCTGCTCCACAGTTTACCCCACTCGGCCACCGAGCCACGAGCGACGGTTGGTGCAGACCTCTGCTAAGCAGCTGGGCCTATTATGTCTTGGTATGGATCACTTGACTCCGACCAGCCAAACATTTACTTCAGTTAGGCTTGTGCATGAATCGATACATTGGCTTCCGCCAATGTGTAGTATACTTTTGAGAAATTTCGGTGAAGTCAACTGCCCGCGTCTTCTCTTCACCGTGTAAACAAATATATCCCTAAGCGATATCGACAGGACCCTATTAAAATTTAATTAATAGTGGGGCCCAGTCGATAGTGTATTAGAGATTATTGTTCCATGGTGAGAATCCTCTCCACGGAGGAACAAGAATCATATGCATGTGCAGTATGCCCCCTGTTGGTGACCCAACGGCCCAATTAGTCTAGCTTTTCTAAATCGACGTGAGCCTTCGTATAGATACTCCAGAACGTATTTCGACTACGATCGCTCCGTGTCACTTCGCCAACACTTTGCTTGGTCATCAAGTTATAAATGAAGTGGAACATGGCCAAACCCTTCGCAACATGCGGCTCACGCAAGATCTTCCGCTACATCCTATCCCTAGAAATACCGAAACTCGGGCCTCTGTCTCTGCTAGTCCAGGGCAACTGCTGTGTTCCTCCGCTGAAGCTGTCCAGCTACGGACGGAAACGTGCTAAGTTGTTTGAACTGAACCTTTCCACCCTAGGTCTTCGCACCCCCGAAACCCGCCAACACCTACGACTCGTCAATTAATTTCTAAATTCCAGAACTCCAGCTGTCTGTAATCAAATGAGACTCAGGAGGATCGATGCTCCGGAGCCAGGAGATATCCTGCCAAAGTCGGCATCCATCCTAATATCCTTATCGAATGTGTAGCTGCCCTTATCTCTCCTACTAAATCGTTGTCCACTCAANATAATGGCTATGCCATCTCGTCAAGCTACAGAGCTATCTCGAACCCGCAGCATCCTTGTGGTCACCCACAAATAAATATTATGGTTCAGAGGTTGTCCAGTCTACCGGAATTCACGTATCTCAGAGGAGTGCTCTACTGTCCACAAGTTCTCGAGCGTCGGAATCATGCTCGAGGGTAATGTGAGAGTCTGTAAAGTGATTTCTACCGGCCGCGTGGCAGTATTGTTATGGGAACAGCGTGTCAACAGATTAGAACCAACCTCTTTGACGATTGGGAATATGCCCGGCCCCCGACATGAGGAGGCCAGTATCGACACCAATTTCTCCATCTGTTAAACAGACAGATTCACATACCTGCAAACGAGACGCATCGTCAGTCTGGACTTGGAATTTCCTGTTTGAACTGCGGCTTGAACTCCAACTTTGCCAAAAAACGAGGCATTAGAAGGACACATGCCTGAAACCCCCAGACTGTCCGCTGGTTACTGAGAGATGCCGGCATTCAGTATTTGCACAATGGAATTGAATTTTCGAAAGCCACGGTGTGTACCTGATGGACTAAAAGAGACAGGTATCTGAGTTCAGAGTACGAGTCCAAACTGTTGAGCCGCATCTAGGCATTCCGCGGTCTCAGCATTACCTTAAAGGTATGCCACCAGACTTTCTCCGCCATGGAGACGATTGTTTTCGTGGACAATGAAATTTAATGAGCTGCAAAATTATGAATAACGATTAGGATGATTTCGGTATGAGCACAAACCTAGCGCACAACTATTAAGTCTGCTAACCTCCCTGGTCACTCAACTTTTGGACTCTCGCCCTTGGAGGTAACAGAGACATTGTTGAAATGTTTGTCCACATACTGCCTCATCCTTTTCAGCAAACTCGGCGATGTAAAACAGTCAGCTGGCCTCGAACGACCGTCTATAATCGCGCTCACAGAGACCTGGCTAACACCGGATGTCTCTGACACGGAGATCTCGATAGTCGGTTACTCCATTTTTCGAGTTCACTCAAAACGAGGGGGCTGGTGTGGTTGCCCTGTATTTACATTCGGCCCCACCAATCCTGATTGTTTTCTCTGATGACACTCCTGCACCTTTTTGCCCTGTATTGTGGGTCCAAATCACGCTGAGCGGATCCAATTCTCTCCTTCTCGGTGTGGTCTAACTTAGCCCCTCGAGTCGCCCTGAAGATGACCAGTTCCCCATGCCAACCCTTGAGCAACCCTCCTCCAACTATCGCTTCAGTCATATCCTGCTGTTAGGTGGCTGTAACGCTTTAAAAGCTTCCTGGATGGAGCTCCAGCGCGTCGAATCAAGCGGACTCTTCGCAGCGGCGCTAATTGAAGTCGTTCAACAGAGCGCTTGGACTCAACATAACGTTGCACCTACCAGATGCGGCGCAGGTCAACTAACATCCCCCTGGATCTGGTCATCATCAACGAAAGACACTTCGTCGATCAGGTAACAATTGACGCCCCCTGATGCATGGTGACCATTGTGTGCTGACATTTGATTTCATCTGCTATTGGGCCAGAAATCCCGAACCGCAAACGTGGTTTCGTGCAGACATTTCAGGAATGCGCCTCTTTCTTGAACAGGTCACACTGGGACCAGCTCCAGTGGAAGAACTATACAGGACTGTTATCCAGAAAGTTTACGAGGCTGACTCAAAGTTCGTCCCAAAACACAGCACGCACTTGGATGAGCCGCAGGCTGCCAGAAAGGATTCGGCGACCTCTGGATAAAAGTTCACAACCTTTTAAAAAAAGTCGGCTACAGGGGATATGGATGAGCTG